ACTCTGATTATATACTAGAGTTGTTGATGAAACTAAATTAAGCTAGTAAAACTAGTAACTATCTAAAATCTAATTGGCAGTTTACTATAATAGCCAATCAGATTATAAATAGTCCCTAGTTTCACTAGCTTAATTTAGTTTCACCAACAACTCTATTATATACTGTGTAGTTAAAATTAAATTTGTTTATACCAGAATTACAGTATTTTGTAATTCTATAAAAAAAATTTAGCTAAAGAGCTTGCACATTATTTCAGAAGTATAGTATGTAGTTAATATTAAGCTAGTTTAAATTTTTTTTTTATAACTTCAGCAATTATGCTAATACTTTATTAGGTATAAAACTCACATATCTATTTTATATCTATTTCATAAGTGAGCTAACTTTAACATTGGGCTAAATATGTTACTCATAAAATTACAAGTATTGACTCACCCAGCTCTTTGCAATGAGAGTTTTATATAACAAAAGTTCAAATTACCTATATGTGATCTGCTATAGTAAAATTTTCTCTCAATACTAAACCCTTCTACTAACAAAGAAATCTAATATATCACTAAGTGGCATTTATGGCTATCATAATTGCCTCCTCTTTTTTGAATGATAAATCTTCTTCTTCTAACTTCCTGAATAGAAAGAAACACTTTAACTACTCAACGAAAAAACTTCAAGATCAAAGAAAAAAAAAGAAGTTTAATACCAAAAGGGGGAAATATCTAAATAAAAACCACAAAAAAAAACCATATAAAACCCTACAAAAAAAGAAAAAAAAAAGACAGAATAAAAAAAAAAAGAAACAAAAATGACAAAAGCATTATTATAACCTGTGCCAGGGTAAAAAAATATTATACATGTGACTTCGGGATGATGTATATCTCACATGATACTAATAAAAGCACCTAAAACTAACTATAAATTTTTTCACGAATTAAATCCAATAATAAAAATTACTACACGTTCCATATGTGTTTGTTGTTTCTCTAATTCGCCACATTGCAATGGTAACTTCTAAAAATGGAAGTGGTAAACAATGTTGATCGTTTGGACGGGTAGCCAAATCCCCAGATTTTTTCGAAAATTTTGTAAAAAAAATGTTGACAGGATAAAATTGAATGCAGGATAACCAAAGTCCTTAGAGAAAGTAGTGAAAAAAACTCATTTGTTGTCCATCAAGGGAGCCAGAACACCAAAGAACAACTTTGTTGACAGACAAAAACCAAAATGCCATCAAAATTTTCAACACAAGGGTGCCTCCAACTTGCCAGTTATCTTGTATATGAACGCTTTTGACTCGCATGCTGAAAGTAAGTAAGGAGTCTCCCAAATAAAGAAGGTTGATTTCAGATGTTTTACTTACAAACCGTTGTATAAAAGTGTCTGCTTCTTCTACTATTTCCAAAAAAATTTTTGTTTTTTGTTAGCTGGAAAATTTGGTACAGGTGATCGTCGGAAAGAGTGCCATGTATTGAGCTAGTTTAAATTGAAACTATTGTGATTCTATTATATATTATTATAAAAAATTTTGTTACAAAATTAACTTGTCATTTATATACAGAATATAGTTGAAGTTTGTTTGTATTAAAAAAATTATAAAAAATTCTGCTACAGAACTTACTTACTAATCCAGTATAAGAGAATTATCTTATAATTTGTTGTATAAATATTTAACTTTAAAATTACACAACATTCTGGTGGGTTAAGGTTAGGGTTAGTGAGCGTTTTATAAAGTAAAATTGCTCAATAAAAACTTTTGCTAGTACTAGGTATAAAATATTATATATTACTCTTAAATCTAAATTTACTCTAAACTTAATACATTGTATATATAATGAATAAGAAAAAAAGGTAAAAACTTTGTGAAAATTTTTTGGGCTAAGGTTTAAAACATTGATACTTGTTTTTTTCTTATATATAAATATATATATAAGCTATATATAACTGTTTTAAAACTTCTCTTCACAATTTGGTAGTGGTATACAATGTAGCTTTTTTGAAAAAGGCATGCTAGATTTCACACTTTTTAGTGAAAATTTTCTAAAAATTTTCAAATACTGTGGGGGCAATAAAAAGAGAATTTTTAGTTGTCTGTACTTTTAAAATTTTTAAAAGTATGTGTTGAATAAGCAGCACTTTTGATATTCTTTGTGTCTTCATAGAAGTACAGCCTAAGAGCTTTATTGATAAAGAAAAGGGTATCAAAATGAATCCTTTCTCTACACCAAGATTTTATATACAAAGACACCACCTGCTAGTTATCTTGTATAACAGCACTCTTGGCTTGTATGCCAAATATCATCTGTAGAGAAGTTCTAAAAGAGTAAAATTGTTAACTTATAGACAAACTGCTACATTAGACCATGACTCTCCAACAGAAGTTATGTTTTCCTTTAATAAAAAATTTTGGTACAGGTGATTATTGGGAAGAGTTGCCTGTTTGCAAATTTATATTTATATAATTTTTTTAATAAAAATATATATTATTAAATAATTATTTATATATATAAATAACTAATATGTATAAACTATTTATAAATTAAAAATTTTAGTTTTTTTTTGCCTGCATTTTATGATAAACAAATTTGTTTAGAATTTAAAAAGTATTTATATACAATATTTTAAATAAAATAAATAATATAAATAATATAAAATATATTCTATTTTTATATAATGTAAGCGTATTTGTAATAATAAAATCTGTCTATAGTATAAATATTTATAAAATTATTATAAAGTTAATTACAATTTTAACAAAGTACAGTATATATAATTTAAATTAAAATTTTTAAAAATTTTTATTAAAATTAATATAAAGTTAATTACAACTTTAACAAAGCATAGTATATATAAATTTTTTAAAAATTTTTATTATAGTTCAAAAAAATGAAATAAATTTATAATTAAATTTTAAAATATAGTATTGTTAATTTTAATAATTTTTGTTTTACAAAGTTATACAAATTTATCGGCTATACAGAAAGAAATACAAAATGCATAAACACTAACTAGTTTAGTTCTATACTAACTTAATATTAGCAGAAATTAATATATAATAACTTAAAAAAGAAAATACGTCCAATTAAAATAAATTCAAAGATTCATGTTAGAAGAAATAAGATAAAGTAAATTTTCTTTTTTATATAAAAAACTATCGTTATTGTTGAATTCTATGTGTCTCTTTAAATTAGGATGTTCAAACAAAGTTAGAGTATTTCATGGTTCTGATCTGTATATAAGTGCTAGCAAGTAACAAATTTTATAAGTCAGAATTTATATCGATTATTCTAGTTCTAAAAGAATCTAATTAAAATGTGATATATATCAAGTATATACAAAGACCTAATTGTTGTATGTACATCTACGTACTGTACGCATGCACAGTAATATCAATTTAATTAAATTCTTTACTTGGCAGCATACATCTACTGTATGAAAACCTTTATAAAAATTAGGGTATCACAGACAAAGAATGGTGACAAAGGTCAGAATGCAGGGTGGATTAAACATGGAATGGTACGTACGTACGTACGTACGTGCTGTACATATGTATTACGTAAAAATGGCATAACCTCTTAAAAATTTTGGGTAATACACGTATCGGTAATATGTGAATACATAAAGTGTTATACAAAGTGTTATGTAGAATGCTATGCATTGATACTTCAAAAAGTTGACATTCAAAGAGACACGAGAATCGCAAGGCATCAAGGGGTGTTTTGAAATAAATAAAAATATATTTATTTGTAATAAAGCAGTATAACAATATTACATGTATGACATCAATATTTGTTAATGGCGAGACGTGTGTAACATTCATTTCACAATATCCGAATTACTATTGGAACTAAATAGCGTATACGCTCATGATCAATTATAACAAGGGGCAATGTAATACTAAGAATGTTTATTAACAAGGACGCGCTAATTAAAACTTGATCAATTTCAGCTTTAAGATAAATGATGCTTTAGTGGGAAAAACATGAAACTATTATAATTGACCAATCAATTATTCTTTTTTTCTAAAAAAAAAAAAAAATTAAGCATCAATTAAATATCAATAACAAAAAACCATTTTACATAAAAGTATACATATCGTTCTACGTAATTTATTTTCCAAGAAGAAAACAGTATAATATATAATTAGTCATAAGAATATCTAAGTATAATCGTATTATAAATAATGTCTTGTAATAAAAGTAATAAGTAGTTAATGAAATTTTTTTTTCATAAACATTTAAACCGGTTTATTTCACATGAAATTTTAGTAATAGTAATAGACTGATAATGATAAGCAACGATTGTATTAACATTGATTTAACCTATTAAGTAATAAATCATTATCTATTAATAGATATCTTTGTTAACATTTATTATCAGTACTACTCCACCGGCACACATAGGGTTAGACTTAACAATTGATTTGTTGCAAGTACATATTTCTAGTGAATTGGCACATGGCGTGATGTCGGCTAAATGAACTGGCGGTGAAACGATTGTCAATTATCAAATAATTTATTTATTTTCATTATTTGATGATGAAATACAGATAGACCTGTGAAAAAATAAATTGACATATAATTATTAGCATTGGAAATCTGTCAACGGTTGATGTACTACTGTAACGAAAAAAAAAAAGATCCGATAAACGATCTCATTGTTATCATAATCATTATGTATCCAATGTTATAAATGATGTAGACTAGTCTAGTCGTTTCGATCACGGGATCGTCAATGTATCGTTATAATTATTTCTTTAAAACATCACGTCATATATCGTATGTTATGCTCTCCTGATCGGGACCCTCTACGAATTTCCATAAAAATTTTACAACAAATTCGACTATTGCCTTTTTAGCATTCATCCCTTTTTTTAAAAAATAAAATCCAAAGATCTCATTAGGAGGTGCAAGACATACATACGTACGTACATGACGTATGCATGTTCGTACAGTATGAATAATATAAATGGTTATTCGTGTACAAATTACATATGCATGTGTGAATGCGGGGTTCTACACAGAAACCCGATAACCAAAAACCCGAAAATCAAAATCCCGAAAGTACCCAAATCCCGTCAGGTTTATTATTGTCGGGATTTTGATTTTCGGGATTTTGTGTGTCGGGATTTTGTGTGTCGGGATTTTGGATGTGGTAGAATCTGAATGCGGTACGATCGAATATTGAAAGAACAACTTCTCCAGATGAAATAACAATGATTGCTTTTTTTTAAACACAAAAAATACGCAAATATCTTAAATGTATTCTTTTAATACGAAATGTTTTATAATTTAATTTAATTTAATACAGCCGTCTCACCCTATCTGGATCGCTTTTTTATTCATGTTGATAGTGATATTAGTGAGGGAACATATTTTAATGTTGATATATATGAGGGAATTTTGATACAATTTTAGCATATAGAAATTCATTTTATAGCCTAGGTTGATATTAATGAATATTTCAAAAAAGAATCACTTTGATAGTCTTTCAAAACCGATCTAGACAACTTTTTATTATCGATTAACTTTTATTGTATTTCATTATATCAATGAATATAAAATTTGTTTTGCAAAACAATTCAAAATAATTCGAAAATTAGAAGACAGAAATGCACTATTTTAGTAACTGCATTTTCGCCAATACCATTTACATTAAATCTGTGCTTCATTCCTTGCCTTAAAAATTATCTGAATTTGATAATGGCATGCATTTAATGGAGTAAATGACTCGTAAAAAATTTCTTTGTTTAATATTACGTGATTTAATTTATTCTAAGCTTAATGGATATAAGCATTTCCGAAAAAAAACTATAAAGAAAATGGACGGATTGGTAATTCTTTCTTGGAACTATAGAAATCCTTAATATTTTTTTTTTAAATGGCTTTCCTGCATTCTTTATTTCGTAAATAACGACCATTCACAAATCGGGGATAACAATGTAAATTAACCAAATTTAGTAATGCGTGATTATTCCAATGTGATTATTTAAATAATGATTATCTTACATTATGGTGATTATTACATTATGAAAAATTTTTGCAAATATCACAAGATAAAACAAATGTGACATTATATTAATTTATAAGTATATACACTAACGTTAAAAATTTTTTTTTTCACCAAAATTAATTATAACTTTATAGTAATCATGTCTTCTTTTTCGTTTAATTTTTTAGATTTATTAATTTTTTTCATTGTTTTTTATGTATCTCATTTTTATTTCATTTATTTCACTCGACCAAATCCTTTACCTGGTCCATTACCATTACCAATTGTAGGAAATGTTTTACAAATAGGATTTAATTTAATATCATCAGTTCAAAATTTTCAATCAAAATATGGAGATATTTTTGAGCTTTATATGTTTTCAGAACGTCAAATTTGGTTATGTAATCCATCATTAGTTGATAAAATTTTCACAAATTCTACGAAAACAAATTTTTTTCGTAGATCATTATCTACTCAAGGATTTGAAGAATTAGGAATTGATAAAGTTGGTATCGCTTTTAATAGAGATTTAAAAAGTTGGAGATATAATCGTAGGATTTTAAGTTACACGCTTACAAATGGTAGAGTTTTAAAAGAAAGTATAAAAATTGTTAAAAAACTTTTTGAAGAAATTGAAGGTTATTGGATTACTTTAAATAATGAAAATAATTTATCGGATAAAATTAATGAAGAATTTATAGTTGATCTTAGTCAATGGACGAGAAGATTTATGACTGATCTTGCTTTAAATCTGAATTTTAGTGAACATGCATTTAGCATGGCAAGTTATTTTAATTTACTTAGTAAAAGTAAAAATCAACAATCTCAAGAAATTATCGAATCTGAAAAATTCCTCAAAAGTCTCACGATATGGGTACAAAATAGTAAGTCTTTTTATATCTCGATATTTTTTATTATATAATTAATGATAACCAAAGTTATCTAACATCTTTTTTTATTTAAAATTCGTTATATATATATAATAAAGTAATATTTCTAATGTTTTGTCCTTCAAGTTTCATTCGGCATTATATCCCACCGTTCTCTTATTTTCAATTAAAATTTCAAGCAAATTATGATTGGTTAACTAGCGCGTTTTCCAAAATAATTCAAAAGCGTATGAAAGAAATTGAAAATGTACCTTTGGACAAGATTCAAACACATGATATTTTAACTACATTATTGACGGTTAATATCGATCAAGATTTAGAAAAAAATTATAGATTTGGTGAAAAAATCAGACCAATGGATGAAACGGAAATTGCTGGTGTATTATTGGAATTTTTCGTTGCAGGAGTTGAAACGGTATGTTAATTATTATTTTAATACTGTTACAGTAATTTAGATATTAATATTAATATTAATTTAATGCCGTATATTCATTTAGGTGTTAACTACAACATGCTTTGCTATTTATTATATCTGCAAACATCCTTTGGCGAAGCAAAAGCTCATTAACGAATTTGATTCAGAATTTCCAGATTTATCATTATTAAATGATAAGCTTATCTATGAAAAACTTTTAAATAATCTTCCATATTGTGATGCTATATTAAAAGAAACAAATCGATTAGGAACAAATCCTCCAATTAATCCTCGAGAAGCTTCCAATAGAGATGAAATTGATGGTCACATAATTTCTAAAGGGTCTATAGTAGTCACATGTACAGATGCTATTCATTTACATAAAGATTATTGGGAAAAACCTAATGAATTTATTCCCGAAAGATTCTTATCTAAAGAAGATTATCCTCTATCTGCTTCTCAAAAATTATATACTTTCGGTAATGGATTAAGAGGTTGTATTGGCAAACAATTAGCATTGATTAAAATTAAAGCATTTTTAGTTTTATTGTTTAGAAAATATGATATTGAACTTGTAAATGAAAATGAGAATGCGATATGTAAAAGTTATGTTCTTAAAGTTTGTGACAAATTGTTAGTTAAACTTAAACCCAGAAAAGTTTAACTATAAGTATATTTTATTAGTTTATTAATTTCTTGTTATTTGTAATACTAAATCGAAATATTGTAAATTATCGAAAAAAATAATTAAAAATATAATTATCAGTATAAAGTTATACGCATGTACGTATACGTACGTAATTGTAGTTACTATTAATAGATTTCATATCACGTGGCATTATTAGATGATTAACCAATCAAAATAAGAAATCAATACGGATCAGACGAAATATCTTGGAATTGATTAATTGATTAGTTAGTTGGTTTAAATTTTTTTTTTAATCGTTTAGTTGAAATTTTGGATTTTTAGCTAACGATTTGGATCATTACATGTACGTACGTACAGTTAGAACTCCCTAAATGCACACTTAGGACTGGTCATAAATGTATGTGCATTTAGGGAGCTATATGCAAAACATTTCTTATTTTTTTTTTAATTGCATGTAAGGATACGTATGAATGCAGAATCTAAAGTTATACTTTTAGAATTTATGATTGATTATACAAACAAACCTAGAAGGAAAATAAAAAGTTTAATACAGTACAAATAAATTTTAATCTTTTGTTTTTTTTTAACGTTTAGCAAAGTAATATTTTATTATCAGTTACGTATGTAATTAGAGATAAATACTAAAATAACTATATGTAGTGAAACCATTAAATGTCATGTATGCCATGTATCCCATATATGCCATGTACGTATGCTAGATATAAAGCTACATCGATAACTTTAAACCATCGTCTCATTTTTTTTAATCGAATATCTACCTGACATTTTATGCCAGTGAAAAGAACCAACAACTATATCTAATAACGCATTAACATATTTACTAATATCTTGATTATTTTCTAAATTAAATTGCATAAATTTATTGGCAATTTCTTGGATTTGTGTCATTCGTTGATTGATTAATTCCACCGCATAATTAACTGCTTCTTGCAATGAACTTTGATGTAAATGACATAAAACTATAATAATATTATCAACTCCACCTTCTAATAATTCTTTTTGTAGCGAGTAAATGTCATTAATAAAACAGATATGATCATTACAATATTCCATAAGATTTCGCAACTCTTTATTATCATATGAAATTTGAATTCCGAGCAAGGGTTCGATTAAATTAAAACTAGTCATTACAGCCCCTGAATTCCTTCTGATCTTTATATATTCTTCCACGGAATTAGGAAATTTATTTGAAAATTCATTCTGCGCATTTAAATAACATGCATCAAAATAAAGTAAAATAGTATTACGAAATTTCATTCGCCATATTTCATTAGTTATTTTTTTCATTCTGGCCCATACATCCCATAGAGCAATAACAAGTGGACTTTGCAAAACTTCTGATTGTAAATTATCATCTAAAATAGACTTGAATTTATCAAGTACTGTTTTTATTTCTTCAGGTTTTAAATTTTTATTATTATCATCAATTAAATCATCAACAAAAAATAACCAATTAAAGAAATCGATAGCGAGACAACGTCTTTCAAATGATGCTGTTGGAAATATATAACAAATAAGTAATCCAAATTTGCTTCCTTTAAACTCCTTATTAGTGGTCTTTTTCTTAATTAATTCGAATTTTTTTGCCCATTCATAACAATGTTTTTCGATTTTTAATACTTCTTCCTTCGAAACATAATTACGAGCTCGTAGAGGTATATTACAATTTAAAGATTCTAAAATTTTATGTGATTCATTAAGTGTGTTTATATTATTAGATTGATTATTAGATTGTGGTATTAATTTTGTTTTTCGTAATTTTTCTATTCTTGAACCTTTATTCCATTCGGTCGGTTCTTTATTTTTTGATTTTATACTTTCTTTTTTGCTTTTCGGCATTACTACGTAATTTTTACCTTTTTATCGGTATTTAAAACTTTGAACGGACGGAAAAATTGCGATGCTTAAATAAATATAAATTTGGGGCTCAACTAGAGATGCGATCCGTAAACTATTAGTTAATATAAATAAACTGTAGTTTATTGTAAAAACTGTAGTTTTAAAATAAACTACAGTTTATTTATATGTACTGTAATTCACAGTTCACATCTCTAGACTCAACATTTTGTGATAATTATTTTTTCAGGTGATTACTGAATTTTTTTTTCACATCTCATAACCTGATACGTACGTGATAGTCATTAAAATTATCGTCGATCTCCAACAGGTTTACGGTTATTGGCCGATAACCAATTTCTGGGTAAACCGTAGTTCCAAAGTCACTGGGTAAACAAAATTCCAAATTGATAGTTAAATTCATATACTATATCTAATTAAATAGGCAAATTATTGGAACCGGTCACCAGGAATTTTAGCAAATATGAAGTGAAACTCTTTATTATTTTTGAGTTATTTAATTTCATATTTGTGTCGGTATTTCTTAATTTATGTTAATGTTTTAAATTTAAAGTTTAATATCAATATATTATATTTGCGTTTATAGAATTTATTAGATTAAAACCTTTGTTCGTACGTGCGTACGAACGAGCAATATCCCACGTGTGAAAAAAACAACAATTCTATATTTGAGGGTGTACATTTTTTTATATGGTTATAAATAAATTACGGATAACTGGGTAATAATAATTCCATATGGATCATTTTACTAGGAAAATCACGGTGATTTTCCTAGCAAATGTCCCATATTAATATACTATACCTATGTGGGAAATCAGGAAATTTAGATTAGTAATAATCCGATTAGAACGAACTTTGGAAATCTGGGAAATATCGGAATTTCTCACGATATGCTTATCAATAATATTCAAAATTTTTTTCCGATCTATATACGGTAAACGTACATAGTATATCAATGTATAGTAGATTTAAAGTTAAAGGTTCCGAAAAAAAAATAAACGAACATAAAATAGAGCAAGGTCAAGACAAAAATTTGAGGAAATCTCCGGTAATTTCCGAATATTTGCCAAATAAGATTTAGGATAATCGACTCTGACTTAGCTGGCTAACTTAGTCAAGTCGATGTATAATGATCGACTACAAACACTAATTCAATTTTTCGAAATGGTTGAAAATATTTATTTTGCGAATATTCGAATATTGATATTATGTAGATATGTACATATAAATAAACTGTAGTTTATTTTAAACCAACAATTTTACAATAAACTACTGTTTATGTATATTAACTAATAGTTTACGGATTATGTAATTTGAAAAAAATCAATACTCTAAACTAATCGAATATTCGAGTATGTAAATATCTTATTTTCAACCATTTCGAAATTAGCGATAAATCCAAATAAGGTATTGTCAGTTATTATACATCTCTGAATTAAGTTGTCCTTAAACTAAGTGAAAATTCCAGAATCTACAAATTAGTCAAACGGGAATAATGCTAAATAAATACGTTAGACCGATCAAATGATGTTATCTATAATGTTAAGGGGAATGTACAATTATAGTGAATTAATAATCTTTTTTGTACATTATATCGTGTTGATTGGCTGCGGCCTGAGAAGCATAAACTGTTATAATTTATAATTAATATCAGTACTAAACGACATAACAATAATTTAATTCGCCTCTCCACTGTAGCGAGATATATTCTTTAACGGGACCTACCATAACGAGGATAGATTATATATCAGAAATGTGCACGTATTATATAACTATCTGCTCGTTGATAAGTTTTATAAGTTATGTTTTACTTTTTATTTTTTTTTTGTTGTTTTTACAAGTTAGTATATTATATATATTCTAAACTACTTATTTTAAATCTTTTAGGTGACTATTTATTGCTAATCTAAATTTGTTACTACATAGTAGAGCTGTTACCCGGGTTGACTTGACCCGTACGGGTGTGAAAGGGTGAAATGTGGCTTGGAATTATTTTTTGCCGCAGTTGATCGAGGTGGGCCGGAAAAGATCTAACAGATCTAACAGATCTGTCGGATATGTCGGATCCGTTAGATATGTTGGATCTAGTTGATATATTATATCTGTTAGATACGTTATATCTAGCATGTATGTTAGATAGGTTAGATAGGTTAGATAGGTTAGGTAGAAATAGCGAATCATAGTATAGCCGAAAGTTGTATATAAGGACCAAGAGTCCGCCTTTAATAAAAGATATCTCCAGTAAGGAGTATTTTGTCATCTCTAGCTTCATTCATTCTATCCAATCTCCCGATAAATAAACTATCTCATAACCACGTGATCCCGAAGTAGAGCTTCGTGACGTAGTATAGAGCTCTATTTGGCCCTAATAACTCGGGCCAAGTCTTTCCACGCCCTCTTTCGTGCCTACCACCTTTAGGGTCTAGTAGAGTTTGGTGGTTTAGAGCGTTGATTTGGATTAGATTAGTCTTAGTTGATACCCGTGAAGGCCATATTTTGAGTATCCGGATCAACTTTACCCTTCACACGGGTCAGAATTTTGACGGGTCACGGGTCAAACGGTGTGATGAAGAAACGGAACATATGGTGCACTTTGTACAGGGAATACAGTTGGCATGATTTGTAGTTTATTAGGCAAGAGCATAAAGCAATAATAGTAATGTACAAAAAAAAAAAAAAACTTTCTCTTTTCAAAACTTAGATTAGATCGATCGAGCCGTCACGTGGTCTACGTGACCCACGTGATGCTCGATCGGGGACGGATCGTAGGCATGATTTCGGGAATGATAAATGAATAGTACGGATATTAATAGAAAAGTCAGTCATACGATATTGGTAATGCATAAAATATGTCGTAATATAGTAGAATTTAGTATTGCAAGAACAATGCATTTAGAGATGCAAAATGGCTGACAGCCCAGCTAATAGCTTACTACAAATAAGCTGAACCAACTCTGAGTCAAGCCATCTTTTAGCCAAGCCGTTTGTTAGCCGATCTAAAGCCAAACTAAGCTGCGGCTAAGACTTAATTTTAGAAATAGATATGTGTGTGACTACTATCTATATGAACTTGCCTTTTTTTTTGCAATTCTAGAAAGGATATATATCTTATATATTATCATATTTATAATAGGCTTATTGTTACGATACAAGTTCAAATGCAATATTAGTTGGACTTTTTTTTAGCTATTATTTAGATTTATAAATATTCGGCGATTTTTTTTCTTTTTCTGACTTTTTACTAATTGTTATTAATGTTATAATGCACTAAAGATATAAAATTGTGTCTGAATAGAGGCGAACAAAGCAAAGAGCTATATAAATTTATTTTTAAATCTAAGATTAATCAATTTTCTTATTTCTTTTTTAATTCTATTCAAACTAGCTTTATGATGCGCTGAACTCTATTTTTTTAAAAGAAGCAAATTTAAATTCTTTAATTATTAAGCAAAACAATATTAGATTATCAATAATTGTTATGTTATTATACTGTCTATTCTTCGAATTAATTGGGTAGTGAAGCCACTTGAAAAATGGTAAAAATTCTTAAATTTTTTTAAAATTTGATACCATGTTTTAACCATGAACCTGTACACATAAGAGCCTGTATACTTGTTTCTGAAAGACAGGCACGCCTAGCACGAACAATATTACCTGCTTTTGAAAATATTTGCTCTGATGGTACCGAAGTGGCCTGAACTGCAAGATAATCTTTAGCCATTTGAGACATGCCAGGAAAGCGGAAGGAATTAAGTTTCCACCACTCTAATGGGTTAATACCCATTGGCAATATAGACTCACTTAAATATTGTGAAAGTTCATCTGTGGAGTTATTTGGAACATTAATTCATTGCCGTTTTTGTGCAACTTGTTCTGCATATGTTGTCGTTTCAGTATTTGAGTTGGAAGAATTATTTGATATAGTTACTGAATATTTAGTTTGAAGAATGTGATTAAAAAAGTTTTGATTTTCTAAGTTATTTATATTAGCAGGCATTAATTCTAGTTTAATTCGTGGATCAAGAATTGAAGCCACGAATGCAGTTTCATCATAAATATAAGGCAAATATTTTTTAACCTTTTCTAACATCTGTGTTGCTGCAACTTTTAAAAATGAAGGGCTTGATAAATCTTGAGTATGTGATAAAAGAACATCAACGATATCATCTATTAATAATAAAGAAAGACCCAATGTTATATATAAGCTTCCAGAAAGAGTATTTGTAGTTTCATAAAAAGGATGCAAGAATTGTGTTACAGTATGAAGATCAGAATCTTCTTGTTGTGTAAGCTTAAAAGAAGCAAGGTTATCATGACGTTTTATAACTGCCGCTATTGTTGTTGGCATAGATATATAAACAGACAACATCATAAGTACTGTTCCATTTAGTTGATACATCTTTGGGAATTTTGCGAATGATTTCACCTTCACCAACAGTTTGTCCTATTTCTTTAAAATCTTGTGTAATTGTAGATGATGATGTAATTGTTTTTACAAATTTCTGAACTTTATCAACTGCCTCCTTAAATAAAAAAAAATACAAAAATAAATTAGCTAAAAAAAATAAATAATTAAGACAAAATAAATAAAAAAACCTTAATCGGTTCTAGCCCTGTAGTAACAACAAGATGTAAAATATGTGCCAAACAGCGCCGTGAATAGAAATGAATTCTTTGCATAGCTAAGCATGCATTGAATATACAAATAGCTGAAACCATATTTGGCCCATTATCTATTGTTGCACTAAATATTTTTGTAGCAATATTAAAGTTTAATAAAATAGCTTGTAATTGTGTTTCGATATCTTCACCAGTATAAGGATGCGGAAGCATACAGATATCAATTAAAATATTTTTAAGGTTCCAGTTATTATCAATCCAGTGTGCAGTTATAGCAAAAAAAGGCATATTTGCACGGGAAGTCCAAATATCCAAAGTAATTGAAATTTTACTAGAAATTTGCTCAAAAAGAGCCTGAACATTCTTTGCATTGAAATAAAAGATGCTTGCATAATTGCCTTTATAGTTTCACGAGAAGGTAATTCAATACTAGCATTAAGATATCGTAACATATCAATCAGTGCTTCACTTTCAATAATTGAAAAAGGTAAGATGTCAAAACAATCCATTTAGCTAATAAAACATTAAACCATGCTCTCTGTTCATTTGTTAAACGTTGAATTGAAATTGTATTATTTTGAGTAAGTGTATAAAGTAATTGCGCATTTGATTGCCAATCTGGATGTTGTGAATCAAGATGTTGCTATAAAGTTCCTGTAGCTGTTCTTTTACTATATGGTTTTTTGCAAAAAACACAAATAACTTTATTATTATCATCTGGATTTTTTATAAAAAATGGCTTTACAGAAGATGACTTCTTATTTTTTTTAACTGTAGCAACACTTGAACCAACTTGAGTTGTATGATTATTAGAAATATCTTGAGAAACTTGAATATTAACACAATTATAATCAATGTGATCCATTTGAGCGATCAATGTATTAGTAAAATGATTAATTAATAAAGCCAGTGAACAAATTTGCATCTCTATTTATAAGCATTGTATTTTTTTTTTCATGATGACATGAAAAAACTTATTCTGAAGCATTATCGTTCGTTTTGACGAAATATTGCTATATGGCTTTATTAATAGTCTTACTACATATCATATGGCATTATTAGTCTTATTACATATCATACGGCATTATATTATGACATTACATATCTTACAGCATAATTTATCAGCTTAAGCCAGCTTGAGGTTACACAAGCTGAGTCATTTAATGGCCAAATTTTAGTTAGCGAGCTATTTATTAGCTCGGCTTAAGCCAGCTTAAAGTTACACAAGCCAAGTCATTTAATGACCAAATTTTAGCTAGCCGAGCTATATTTTAGCTCGGCTTAACTGATCGGCTTATGGCTTAGACGAGCCAATTTGCATCTCTAAATGCATTAATAACGATTAGTAATCAATTAAAAGTTAAAATATATATGAGCGATAAATGATGTAATTTGTAGTAGCGAAAGAGTATGTATAAAATTGCAGCAGAGGTCTTTTTCGATTTTTAACAGCTGCCCTACCTTGTTTGGTGCATCGAAAGTGCGTCAGGGTACGTCAAGTATAACCTGGGTTTGCAGGAGAGCATCTTCCTGTGTATCGAATACAAAATAAAATTTTCAATTATATTATATAATTGAAAATTTTACTTTGTATTCGATACGCAGGAAGATGCTCTCCTTATGCAAACCCAGGTTATACTTGACGTACCCCGACACACTTTCGATGCACCAAACAAGGTAGGGCAGCTGTTAAAAATCGAAAAAGACCTCTGCTTAAAATTGCAAGAAAAATAAAGATTTAATTAGTGCTTTTTACGTGAAACATTGTCGTCTCATACACAGTAATATAATACTAGTGTTCCAAATAAGCCGGCTTAAACGGGCTTATTTGTCACACTCCTGCGGCTTGCTGCGGCTTATAAGCTGTGTAACAATTAAAAATATATAAGAGGGTATGCAAAATGCATGTAGGGGTATGCAAAATACATGCAGGGGTATGCAAGATGCATGCATATTGCATACCCCTGCATGCATCTTGCATACCCCTGCATGCATTTTGCATACCCCTTACATATTTTTAATTGTTATACGGCTTATAAGCTGCAGCAAGCCGCAGGGTGTGACAAATAAGCCAATTTAAGCCGGCTTATTTGGAACACTATATAATACAAACCAGTTTGGTGCCCTTGTGTGGCCCATAAGTTATCGCGTTGCTATACCTTTTGAGGTAGATCTTAGTAGCTTAGGCTCCCTTTGTCAATAAATTGTAATACCCGGTTTTTTCCGATGTAGAAAATGAATGAACTCTAATTACAAGCAAGGTCGAAAGTATTTTTTTGACACAAAACCCGAGAATTTTCGATTTAAAATGGTTATATTTTAAATATATCTTCAAGCTTAACCTATGTGGCTATTGACAAGGGTCAACCCGGGTCGAAAATGGTTGACCCGGGTCAAACCCGGGTCACAAACTCTAAATTGTAGTTTTTACAGTTTTTAATTTATTATATTTACTATTTTGTTTAGATCATAAAAATTGATTTTTGTCTGTATTATTGTGTAAGACTTAATCAAATTTTATAATATATGCAGTGTTATTATTAGTTATATAATTAATTATTTATAATATCGTATATAATACTATGATATATAGATAATTAGATAATAAATAGGTTATACTAAATAATCATACGCTTCTAAAACAAGTTCATAAATGGTTACGCTATTACATTCTTTGCTATTAAACCTTATAAAAACTTCACCATCATCCTTGTCAATCGATTCTGTCACTCCAGTACCGAATTGATACCAACAACTGTAATCGCAAGAATTTTTAATGATATCACGCGTTTTTTTCGATCTTGAGAATTTAAATATTGGATTGGATCTTGTTTGAAAACTTATTTCTATATAATCTCCATAATTTGGTCCTTTATCTGAATATATTATCCTAATTCTATACATTCTTTTCCAATTTTGTGGTGGGCTCGAAATATTACCATTAAATGGTGATACTATATACAAAATATGGTTAAATTGTGGATCAGGAAATTTTATTGGTTCATGACTACTCGAAAATATTAGTCTTTCCCCAGCTAGAATAGAATGTAGTGGTAATCTTGGAGGTGAATTCTATAAGCACAAATAAATAAAATACATTAATAATATATATACATATATGCATAAAAATAAATAAAATGTAATAATTACGAAGGTCGGGAAATCGTATGCTTCTAAAACCAGATCATAAAATTTGATAGGAATATTGTCGAATTTGATTGAATCCCATTCAATAGTAACGGTCATATCATCTTGGGGAATATGACCATCTTCAAAAAGATGTTCATCAGAAAACTTGAGTACATTACTTTCCTGAGAACTCGATAATACTGGAAGTGTAAATGTTGCCATTACTCTATCTTGCACATTAAATCGTACAAATATATTACTTTTAAATTTCAAATTCCATGTTTTATAAATAGAACGAAGTCGATATTTTCTGATATAATCTTCCTGTGGATCTGCAAAGAATGACCCAAATGGATTGTTTAAATTTGCGATAACTTTCTGCCGAGAATTATTATTCTCACTTTTAAAATTAGTATTGCTTAATTCTATTGGAAAAATGTGCCTTTCGCCAACCTTATATTAAAGATATTTTTTTAGATTAAAATATTTTTATTAAAAATTAATATTTTTTTATAAATTATTTATTACCTTATAGCCAAGAGTGGGTTGAGCTTGAATTTCCGATAAATCATCGTTTAATAATTCAGCCATAGGCGGTAAAATATCGTGCGCTTCAATTTCAATCCGATAGATTGTCGCTCTCGTGGATTGTTTATTTTTAAGCCGAGTATTTTGTACATCTTGTATATATCTTACATAGCAATCACCATTGGATCGATCTATATCCTTAGACAAACCATTACCAAATCTAATAGGATCTGATTGTAAACACTCCTTATAATCTAATTTCATCCCAGAAGGTTTTAATTTAAAAACTGGTTTCTCAGACGTATTAAATCTAATCTCAAAATTAGAATCTCCTTCATGACGTTCTTTAAAATAAATTATACGTATTATGAACTCACGAATATAACCAGGTGTTGGATTAGGAAATGAATCTTTAAACGGTCCTAATATTGAACCAACAAATTTTTCTGAATCATCACTACCAAAATTTAATTGTTGATTTTCTTGTTGAAGTGGAAATATGAGACGTTCTGCTACAAGGGTTTTTGGATGATTTCTCGCTGGTTTTGGTTTAAATAATTTAATTTGTGCTTCTAAAAATATTTCAGTGCCAGGTTCTGTCATAAAATCAATCGTATCATATTTATTTAACACAGGGTATAAATTTTCTATGGTTTTAACATCTCCCTTAGAAATTGCATTTTCCCAAATACGATTATCATCATTATGAATTATATAGACGTATGCTTTTTTATATTTTGAAGTTATTGCATAAAACCTTGCATTAATGTAATAAGATCCTTTCTGTGGCGCAGTAAACCTGATATTGCACCTTTTATTACTTATAAAATTTGTAGGTGATCTCATTAAAATATTTTTAGGTTGAAATAAAATTTCTTCGAATTCTTCATCAAACTTGATAATTATGGGATTTAATTCTGGATTGTAATAAATACAAGAGTTTTTATCACGATATTTATAATCTTGATTACCAGAATTCCAAACTACTAATCCAGAACCATTTTGAACGTTATCTAATTGTTTGAAAAGGACAAATTTGGAAATTACAAAATCTTCAGAACCTTTTAAACTTTCTAAAATTTTTTCACCATAAGACCACGGTGGACTAGGATTTTCTTCCGTATTAAAATCATCTGAAATAGCCCAGATACGATTAATTGATAATGGCTTACTTTCAGATATCTGCCAATCGCTAGCGATAAATTTAGCAGTGTCATACTCTGGAATTCTCTGTACTCTTGCAACACATTTTATATTATATTTATCTTCTTGAATTTCAATATCAACTTTATCTACTACAACTGAATTTTCCACTGAAACTTCAACTGATCCTATGACTTCTTGAGCAGTATCAATAACTTGGACAGAATAACGACCTCGATATCGAACTAGATAATTTACGACAAATTTATTATCTTTTACTTCATGTCGGACATTTTCAGGAGCTTTATATTTATGAATTGCAGTTTCAGATTTTATATCAATACTATCAAATTGTCTATCGGTTCCAATAGATCTTGCATAGGCATATATTTTAGCATGTGAATTAAGGGATGGTAATTTAACAAATATACTTTGGTCTTTTGATGGGATTATCGAATATGGTGATTCTATTTTTTGACCTGTTTCTTCATCTTTAATACCAACCATACATTTACTTACTTTGGGATCAACGGTACCATATATGTGAAAAGGTGTTTTATCATCGTACATATTATACCGTATTTGTAAATCTTTCGGCGGAGGTAAACGCTCTATTGTTTCTTTCGACTTTTCTGGAAAACTGTCAATCATTTGGTCACTCGATGAAGCAGCATATACTTGAGCTTGATAAATTTCATTTGCTTTGATTTTGCTGAGATCAAATTCAACAAAGTTCAAAGTTGTAAAATCTGATTGATCCACTAATACTTTATTTGATGGTCGTATGTTATATATCATCGCTCTATATCCTTTAAAGTTCTTTAAATCTTGACTTGAAAGAGAAATAGGTTTGTAGGTAACCATTAGTTTGTTTGAATCTTTATTGATTTTGACATTAGTAGGACTTGGTAGTTGAACAAAACGGACAGCCTTTAATAATCCGTTTAACCTTTTGATTGACGTTCCATTAATTCCTTGAACAGTAATATCGTAATTTAAAATTCGATTTGTTGTCAAAGAAAGTATTTTTTTAATATCGTTTTCAAGTTCCATGATATTGAATGTTATTAAAGGTATTGATTTTGTTGAGACAGATTTGATAATATATTTCTTCTTATAATTCGAATCATTTGGATCGGTTGGAAAGGAAGCATGCAAAATAACTCGATAATGCAAAGAATCTTTGATAGGGTTCCATGAGATTGTAAGGATTTTAGAATCTGAATTATATTTTCCTTCAATTTTATCTGTACAAGGAAGAAATCTGAAAAATTCTTGAGATGAAATATAGCTAGAGTCCATCCAATTCGTGTCTTTGGTAAAAGCTTTAACGCAAATAAAGTGTGGTTCAGTAGGGTTCGTTGTAAATCGTCTAATGGTATCTAATGATAATTCTGGTAAATTTACCAAGGGCGTGATGTGTTCAGGTGGTGAAGAATAAACAATTTTTTTGTTTTTTACTAAATAGGCATACCCGAGTAAATGTCGTGTATCTTTTGATTCTTTCACTGAAATCAAAATTTTATCAGTGTTTGAATCATATTTGAACGTGACCGACTCAGGAGGTGACATTCTCGACATTTCTTTAGATGATACAAATATACTATCTTGCCAACCAGATGCTCGAGATTGTAAACGAATTATATAAACTCCCCCGTCTCCATTTAGTTCTGTAGTATCTATTATCAATCTGGTATCTTTGCTTTCAGTGCTTGCGCCAATAGTATTGCTGTAGACCGATTGACTATTACATGTATTGAATAACTCATAAAAGTATTCCAAACTGTCACATTTATTGGAAGTAATAATTATATTGAGCTTCTTGCTTTGTGAGTTATAATCGGTTTTGGATATAATTGGTGGAGGCAACGTAACTTTATGATAAACGCTTTTAGTTTTTGATTCCAATCCTAAGCAACGAATTTTGCAAACACAAATTGCTGCGGTTACTGTAACTGTAACCATATTGGACATTATTAATTCATTATCTGTCAACATATAACCCAATCTTCCAATCACTGTTTCTTTCCGTGGTTTACCCGTGCTCTTGGTTTCAATCAGCAAATCATACTCAATTTCACTAGTTTTTTTATAATCTTTTACTTTGGTCGGAAGACACCAATTAATATTCAATCGGTTTTCAGAGTTAAACTCTAATCTTAGAAGAGAATTCTTCATATTCAAAAATTCACCTACTAAATTTTTTATTTCTTGTTTATATTTTTCCAGATCACTTTTTTTATCATCCAAGTATTTTTCACCTTTTGATTTTTTACCACCAAAGAGTTCTTTGAGATCTACTGTGAGCCAGAGAATCAATTCGGTGATGATGCTTAAATTTCCAGAAATTGTGGCGAATAGCAACGCAGCTTCTGAAGCTACTTCACTTAATGACATTAAATTTTTAAGTTTATTTATACCATTAATTAACTCTGGTTCATTGATTTTTTTACTTAATGCAATTTTATTGGCACGCATTTTTAATTTTTTTCGTATATAATGACTAATTTTGTCAATTCCTTTGCAAATAAATCCGGTTATAGCTGATTTACTTAAATTCAAGATAGTAATTTCTGCTAGCGCACTCAAGAAGTTGGCTAATTTTTCAGAATTTGTTAATAACTCACCCAAAAGTGATTTAATAAGATTATTTTCTAAAAAGTTTATCAAATAATTTGGTATATCATCAACCTTTGGGTTTGGATAGTCTATATCAAATCGGAAAGATGTTATGGGAATGTCAATAATAGTTGGTTCTTTGTTTAAAACTTTGATGGTAATTACGTAATGTCCACTCAAATCAAGAGAAAAGGCCTTTTCTGGACTTTTAGGAAGATGTTGTTTTGATTCTATTTCAAACTTTCCTTCAAATTCTTCATTAAATTCAAGTTCATCAATTGTTGTACAAAGAGCAGACCTCGAAATTTCTTTAATTAATTTTGCAAAATCTTTTGCTTTCCAAATTAATTTATCAATAATTATCGGCCAGTTAGTAATAACAAATCCATCCTTTTTAGACCAATATACATCAAGCGTTGGTTTTGTTCCAAAAATATATTCATTAGATTTGATGAAACCTTCTAATCTCTTTAATTTTGAATTAAATTTTAAATCAAATTCAAAGTTTACGCCTAATAATTTAAGGAACCCTTTCATCTTAATGATGATTTTATTAAGATTTTTTTGTATCATTAATTTATAATCACTTAATATGACAAATTTGAGATCTATCTCAGATTCTCTTTCGTCACGAATTGCTTCGATTATTATTTCTTGTCCATTATTAATACTAGCTGTGATCATAAAGCTTTTTCCAAATAAATTTAAGCGAGCCTTCATGTTAAACCCTTTCTTATAAATCTTTTTACCGGCATTCTTTTTCTCAATTTTTTTAACATTAGATGAATTATCCGAATTATCATTCGAATTATCATTATAGGGTAAGACTGCGTAGTATAGTTCACCATCACTAAAAGAAATGTCTGGGAATTCTTGAGGCCAATCTTGATCCTTGGAAAATATTACAGAGAGTAAATGTTTAATACTAACTTCTTTTTCAAGTATTACCCTGCTAACGCATGGTGTGCCTCTCAGAAATAGTATATCTCCTGTTAATTTTATTGATTTATCTAAGAAACAGAGATTAACAGTTCCTTTCAATTTGTATTTACTCTTTTTTAATTTTTTGCTTTTTGTCAAAGTTGTAGTCTTTTCTTTATTTTCTTTATCAGAATTATTTGAATAATCGAATTTAATTTCGAAATAAACGTTTTCAAAGTTTACTCCACTCATTTCAAATGGTTCATAAATTCTAGATATTTTACTACTAAATTTAGAAGTTTTTTCTTCGATTACCAAATCACCACTCATTATACAATTTGTTTTCAAGAATTTCTCAAAATTCAAATTACCACTAATTATTAATTTCTTATAATTTGGTACAAACTTTAACCGAATAAATTCAAAACTCAAACCACCATAAAATGTTAAATTCGTGATTTCTGCATTGAATTCACTATTTGACGAACCATCAGTACCTATAAATGTCACAAATTTGACTTCTGGGTATTGTGATTCTAAAATGCACGTAGCATAAAAATTACTCAACAATGTATGAAATGGTATATTATAATTTAATTCGGCATACAAACTGAATCCAGGTTTTAATATTTTCAATGGAGCGTAAACATCATCGCGATTAGTTGGTAATTCAATTGTAATAAGTGGATTAATATTAATATTTTTAATATTTGATGATGCTAAAATATCCTTGACTATCAAAATTGGGCCATTTAGTTCATCCTTAACTTGATCGAATGTTTTAAATGTTTTGTTTGAGTTTAATAAAAGAATTCCTCGCGTAAGTGGTAATACGTCATCTATATCATTTGATGAATTAAATATATCTGTGAACTTAAATCCTTCACGGGTGTTAACAGCAAAAATATATTCCCATTTATTATCTTTAGAATCATCTTTAAAATGATCTTTAAAATCATCATCTTTAAAATCGTTTTTAAAATCATCTTCAAAATCGTCTTCAAAATCATCTTCAAAATCGTCTTTAAAATCATCTTCAAAATCATCTTTAAAATAATCTTCAAAATCATCTTTAAAATAGTCTTCAAAATCATCTTCAACTTTAGACGATTTTTTAACCAAAAGTAAGGCATCTCCAATTAATTCAATTTTTGTAAATAATGCAATAACCTTTTTTGTAATATTAATATAAAGATAAGCTTCTGGATTGGAGGAAACGAATTGATTGCAAATCAACCCATAAAGTTCATTTGGTATTCCATAGAGTTCATTTGGTAATGATGCTTTAAATTCCAATTGTTTCATGTCGTGCTTTAACCATTCATTATTATCTTGCCATCGTATAAATACTTTCGCAATGTCTGAAAAGTAAATTACCTTTTCATTAGTGGTAGCTAATGCACTCGCAATGACAATGTCACCATCGACTTTTTCAGATTTTGTGATTACTAATAAAATTCTAATTAAATCATTAGGAGTAAATGTTCCGAATATTATTCCTTCAAACATTTTATCTTTTGTCTTGTTACGATCATATTTAACTAATACTCCAACAGACTCTAAATTAATTAAAGGCTCTTCTAGCAGTTTATAGGAAGTGTCACTTTTTACTAAAATAGTGTATTTAATGATCTGAAATTGTTGCAATGAAATTTCGACAAAACTTTCATCTTCGACTTTAAGGTTATCAAACATTGTTAAATCTGGTAAATCTGGTAAATTAGGTAACTTAGGTTGACATTCTCCCGTGACAAGATTTAATAAATCAATTAAAGATAAGGAAGTTTGTTCAAGTGGTAAGATTGAAGCTTTCACTATCATGCTATCATCTTTACTTTTACAATCGATTATTATTTTTGCTTTGAAATTATTTACGTGTGGTTGTAATGAATTCTGACGAGATATGATAGCTTCTAAATTAAATAGTGTACCATTATTCGTTTCTTTGCAATATTTTAGTACCAATTTATCAAGATTGTTTTCTCCGAGAATTAGTTCTCCTTTTACATCAATTGAAAACTCTTTGACATATGAACTAATAATTTTATCAATTTTACTTATACCATCTATGATCAAGTCAACTGATGTTATAGTATAATTAGATATTTTATTAAATATAGAATTATTAAAAGTTTTTGTCGAAGGTATCAACAAGTCAACAGTTTTTGCAAGATTTTGTTCTTTGTAAGGTGATAAAGGTGATAAATTAGCTCGAACTTGATGTTTTTTATTATCATAGCTCAAGTTTGCTTTGAATATATCATTAATATTACCTTCAATATTAAATTCCAAATTCGTTAAACTACCTTTATCCTTTACACGAGAATAAAATATATGTATTTTCAATTGATTGATTGTTAAAGGTTCCAATTTTAGATCACTATCCACTTTGAGATCAATAGATAATTCTTGAATAGAAAAAACCGAGTTTTTAGCCAACTTAACCTTGATTATCGAAATATTGGTGCTCGAAAGTAAATTTAGAATTGGAATCTCTAAAATATCCCCAAATTCAAAAATTCGAAAAATTTCTGATAATGTAAAATTTTTTGAAAAATTTTCGATGAATAAATTTCCAGGGTAATCTCTTGTGGGTGCCAAATATTTAATAAAACAATTATATTTCTTATCTATCATAACTATTCCATTGAATTTTCCAACCCATTTTTTATCTGAATATTCAAGTTCGAGATTTGTTTGTTTAAATTCAATTAAATCTTTTTTAATCTCAAAACTTGGAATTGAGATATTAAGTTGGAATTTATTAATTTTGTATTCGGTTACTTGTTTATTTGATAATTTTTGAATTTGCAACTTAAGACATCGAAATTCAATCCTTTTTGCTTGTTTAACAATATTATTCCAGATAACTGGTGCAAATTCTTTTAGTTTAATAAACGTATCATAGAGACTTAAGCTTTGTAATAGTTGTTTAATTGTTAAAGGATTGTCTGAATCTGAATTCGGTGATTCAATAGTAATAATATACTGTTCTGGCGTTATTGGTCGATATGCAAGTTTTGCAGAAAGATTTATTGAAGTATCTTTAATAGAAATATAGAATTTAATTTCTAAACCGACTGTCAATTTTGCTATATCTAATGGATCATATATTGATATCTTGATAGTTTCATTAAGACTTCCAACCGGTTTAATTTGAGAAGGTAATCGAGACAACCATGTTCGAGAAATATTATTGTTATTTGAAATAATATAAATATTGTTTAACTTATAATCCATCGTTGGTTGTTCTGTTATTGGACTAAATGACATACCAAATTCAATATTTTTATTGATTCTTAGGAAATCATTCAAGTTTATATCATGCAAAGGAACTATTAAATCATCAAATGTTTTTATTTTTGTAGCGTCTAATATAGTTGTCACAATTTTAGAAAGAGGGGTACAATTTTTAAACTTTATCGATATAAATTGTTCATATTCGTTATGTGTAAACACCTTGACTTCAAGATCTTTGATCATTGCACTGGCTTCAAATTCTACGCTTTGTTTATCTGCATCTAGACCAGTGATCGTAACTTTTAAATTCGTAAGCTTTGAAATTTCCGTGGCATCAAGCTTAATGCTTGTGTTCATCATTTCTGAATTCAAAATTAATTTGGCTTTACGAACTACTACATTCGATTTTGTTAAACCAAATAAAAAATCTATTTCTGAAAATTCTCTATTAATTATTCGATTTAATAATGATATCGACTCAAGTGGTAAAGGAAAGAATTCTGATAATTCTGATGATCCTGATAATCTTGGCATCATTATATTAAGTAGTGAACTAAGGTTGATAGTGCTCCAACTTTCTCGCGGAACCCTTGTATTCAAAAGATAGTCATGTACAGATCTTTCCTGAAAAACTTTTGAAATTTCAGGTTGCCACGTGAATTCATGATTAGATTCATCGTTAATCTCAACAATAACCTTCATATTTGTAAGTCGAGGGTTATTAATCATAATTTTCACAATGGTCGGAACAAGGTTATCGAATCTTCCAGAAGAATATCGTAAATTTGAAAGTTCTGTTAAAACTGGATAAATAAATGCACTTTTGACTTCAAATATATCATTGGTAATTTCCCATACAACAGTAGAACTCGAATCAACTTTAAGCTTAATAACTTGCTTAATAACTTGTGCACGAATAGAAGTATCTGGGAGTGTTCTGAAAATATTTTTAACATTTGAAATTCCCATTACGTAATTAAGTGCATTCTCGATATTCATGATTGAAAAATCTGGCACGTTAATTGCATTCATAAATCCTTTGAAGGTTTGATTTCCTGCCATTACTAAGAGCGATAAGGTTATGGTATGTATCAAACTATCTTGTTATGTTTTTAAAAGATTTATTTACTTAAAGAATTTGAGACCCAGGAAAAAAAGAAAAAGTGTCGCGTTTTAAGTCACGATCGTATATGAATTATTTGTCATACAACAGTTTTATCGGAGTTATTTTTTTTCCCTTATAACTAGTGGCGTCAATAGTTTCATCATCCGCAGAATCCCAAATTGAAACTTAGTTTGGAATTTGCCGTAATAAAGTCCCAAATAGCAATTATATTTGCCGTCATATGAAAGTGACATTAACTCCGATGAAAAAATCATCATATGACTAATATACTAATATATGTAATTATTAAATATCGGCAAAATCCCAAATCCCGATTTGGTGCCGAAACAGTTTGGGATACATCACTAACAATAACAGAAAAGGCAAATAAATTTGATCACGGGCCATAGAAAATTCGATTGTTTTATAAATATTTGATCGTTATCACTGTGGGCATCGGCATCTACCGTGATTTTAAAATCAATCTTATAATTTCGATATTCAAAATAGAAGTAATGTTCATTATTCGTTTATATATAGCATCCTAATAAGAAAATTATTGATTCTTTCGCAGAATGATTTGATATATAAGGATTTTCGTAATGTTTGTGAATACAAGTCAATACTCAATTGATCATATTAAAGATTTGTAATAATAATAATATAATATCGTTGAATCAATAAGTTTTAAATCAGCGACATGAATATTTGAATATTAATAAAAAAAATATTAATAAAAAAATTTGTAAATTTTGGCCAGCATTAAGAAATTAAATTATAATTCAGGCATGTCACAGGATGCACTATATACGTTCAAAGTAAAAGATAAATTTAATATCATTAAATAATAAACTAAAAAGCTTGCTTTGTATATAACTTATCTAGTACAGCCCTACTTAGGGTTTAAATATTCAAATTATAAATGATACTACATTCTATTTTACGGATTTGTGAATTTGATAATTACCCATAATGGGCTGTAGCTCTGGTCAAGTTTGCAGATCATTTGGCCAGGTTTTGCTTCAAAGCTGGCAAAATGATCTGCAAATTTGACTAGAATTACGCTCTGGTTTTTTCTGTTATCACGATTAAAAATCATGTGAATAACGAAAAAAATTGAAATTATGTATTGGCGTTTTTTTAAATAATATTAGTACAGAACGTATATAGTTAAATTACTATTGTCGCATTAATGTATTCTTTTTTTTATTTTGCTTCTGGTTTGCTTTTTGCCTTTTTTACTTGTTTTGCTTTTGTGTTCGTGGTTTTTTGCTTGCTCTTTCTTGTTTGTGCTTGTCTTGCTTTTGCTTCTTGTTTCACTTTTTACTTATACTTTTTGCTTACTCATTTTTTTGCTTTCTTGTTTGTGTTTGCTTTTTGCTACTTGCTTTCACCTTGTGTTTTTCTCTTCTTTCTTTAGGTTGCTATTAAGTTGTCATATCTTTGCTAGTGGTGTTATCATTAATTATTACCAATCATATATAAATATTATATTTCTTGTAGTATTTAAGTTTTATTAAATTTTTTTTCAACTATTACGTTATTATATTTTTGCTAGTGATATAGTTTTTGTTATTGTATTTTTACTAGTATATTATTTTAAATTATTCATATATATGTATATTTGTATTTTTTATATTTTTGTATTTTTTTTTTTTTATATGATAGAGCTTTATTAATTTTTCTTTTTAAATTACTATTAAATAGGTATAGTTTTTTGTTATATATTTTTGTATTTTTTTTTTTTTTGTATATTTATATTTTACTAATTTTTCTATTTTATATTATTATTTGATTATTATACATTCAGACCTCTCTAAATGCATAATGTGACCATCGGTTGGGAGAGCAATTACAGATGTTAATCCAATTTAGCTTGATTTGGGATTTATTACTCTTGTACACGTGATATGATGTCACGAACCTCTTATCACTTAATAGATCAACTTTAATTATTCGGGAGTAATTTATTTTGTAACAATAAAATAAGAAATACAAGATATCAATAATAAAATAAGAATACAATAATAATATATCTAAAAAGGCATCGCAGTCTTCAAATCATAGTTTGAGACTTATAGTCTGGGACGTGTAGTCTGAGGCAACTTTACAAGGCGAAAACTCATAGCATAAATATATTTTAAATTACTAAGAGTTACTACGCTATCTTTAATCTTACCTTACCTTCCCAGCAAACAGTCTTCGGTTTGTAAGCAACTCGCGTTAGAATAGCCACCAAATATTGCTCACAATTTGGAGTCAAATTGTTCTCAATATTTACTCACAGCCTTGATCAACAATCAGGAGCCAACAATTACTTGCTTATACAACAATCCCTGGTCAACAATAACGGGTTTATCTCACATTATAATTGTTCTATCTAATGCTCATCATATGTTAGATAAACAAACACCCGCCGGAATTGATCATATCATTAAGCCTCTATTCACCACCTAAGAGCCTCACAATATTCTTGTGGCTCAGGTCATTTGGACGTTTGGTATCACCAAATCACATCCAAGTCACGAGTTTAAACTTTAAACCGTGACAATAACCTCTCTTAATTATCAGCCCACCTATATAAATCCCTCTATAAATGCACATAACATGACTATCAACCAATCTATATAATTTCATACAAGATAATTCTAACACATGACTAATGATGCAAACGGCTCGAGCCGAGCCGGTTAACGGTTCAGCTCCAGGCTAGTGATAGGAATCGACTAAGTTTTAGTTGACTAAGTCGACTAAAATCAACTAATCAACTAAATTTTATTAGTCGGCTAAAAATCATATATACTAATGTTTTGCATCATGTATATGGAGAATATTTCAGAACCTCATAATTCTGGTCCGCATTAGCAGCAAGCTGCCATAATGCAGGCAAAATTCCATGTGCATGAAATTTGAAAAAGCTCTAATTTGTCCAACACTAATATAGGCTAATAGTTAACCAATACTTTTATTAGGTGACTAATAAATTATATTTATTATGTATATTATACAGCTAGTCAACTAGTCATAAAATTAGTTGACTAACTAGGACAAGTCAACTAAAAAATTTTAGTCAATTCGGATTACTACCCAGGCCTACTAATAAAGCATCTGCTCTAAAAACAGCTCAGCTCAAACTTTGGAGCCGTGAGCCGATAGGTTTATATCATATTACCATTACCGTATAAGCGCGAAATAACGTCCACTTGTGTGCTAATTAATTGACCTGCGCGTTATTTCGAATACGCATTATTTCGAAATAAGAGAAGATTTTCTAAATTCAATATAGCCGACCTTCAATAAATTCATGTTGTTGGGTAATAAAATATTCATTATGGAGAATAATCTACATATAATATTATTACATTAGACCAGTCAACTTATATTATAAAGAAAGCGCATGTAAAGTGAACTTATAGAGTGTACGCATTCGAATACGTCCATGTGTGTTATTTCGAAATAAGAGAAGATTTTCTAAATTCAATATAGTCGACCTTCAATATAGTCGACCTTCAATATATACATGTTGTTGGGTAATAAAATATTCATTATGAAGAATAATCTACATATAATATTAAATAATTACATTAGACTGATCAAATTATATGCACTTATCATTATAGGGAAGGTGCAATGAAGTGCACTTATAGTGTGTGCGCATATGGAAATTTCCGAATACGCCCATGTGCGTCATTTCAAAATAAGAGAAGATTTTCTAAATTCAATATATAGTCTGACCTCGATATAATAGGTTGGGAAACAAAATTTTTGGTTTGAATATAAAGATTAAAATTCATAATATGGTTTATAATAGCTAGGTCAAAAAATAGTGTGATTATAACAGGGTTGTGACTATATTGAGAGTGACTATAACGAGATCTGACTGTAGATAGTTTTTATATTATAATTTTATAATATTTTTAGAGAATTATTTTTTATACCCCCAAATTTATTATTCATACCCCCTGCAGATTAAATTTCTGAGCGAAAGCATCTCAGCAACTGCTAGGTCAAATTCGATGACTACTTTTTTTTTTATTTGAAATCTATGGATTTATAGAATTGAAACAAAAAAAGTTCATCGAATTTGACTTTGTGGTTGCTGAGATATCTTTGCTCAAAGATTTAAAAAAATTAAACACCTATCAAAACAAATTGCACTAAAATTTCTTTAAACTTTGAGCGAATATATCTTAGCAGCACTAGCCAATTCAATTAATTTTTTTTTATTTGAATTCTATCGATGCATAGAATTGAAATAAATAAAAGTTCATCGAAGTTGACTTTGTGATTGCTGAGATATCCTCGTTCAAAGTTTTAAAAAAATTTACTGTAAAACGCCTATCATAACAAACTGCATCAAATCTTTTTTTAGATTTTGAGCGAAGATATCTAAGTCAAATTCGATGAAGTTTTTTTTATTTGAATTCTGTGAAGTCTCAGAATACAAATAAAAAAGATTTGACATGGTAGTTGCTGAGATATCTTCGTTCAAAGTTTTAAAAAATTCAACCCGTTTATCAATAAAAATGCTGCACCAAAATTTTTTCTAAACATTTGAGTGAAGATATCTCAGCAATCACCAGGCCAAATTTGATGGATTTTTTATTTGAATTCTATGCATCCATATAATTCAAATAAAGAAAAGTTCATTAAATTTGATCTGATAGTTGCTGAGATATCTTCGCTCAAAGTTTAGAAAAAGTTTGGCACAGCTTCTGTATTGAGACATTTTTTAAAAGATTTAAATGAAGATATCTCAGCAACCACAAAGACAAATCTGATAAACTTTTTTTATCTCAATTGTATGGATCCATAGAATTCAAATAAAAAAAGTTTATCGAATTGGGCCTTGTGTTTGCTAAGATATCTTCGCTCAAAGTTTGAAGAAATTTTAGTACAATTTGTTTTATAGACGTTTTAATTTTTTAAAATTTTGAGCGAAGATATCTCAACAACCACAAGTCAAATTCAATGAACTTTTTGGGGGTTTAATTTTATGTATCCATATATTTCAAATGAAAAAATTTGGCCTAGTAGTTGCTGAGATACCTTCGCTCAAGGTTTAAAAAATTTTTGATCTGCAGAGAGGTATGAATAATAAATTTGGGGTATAAAAAATAATCATCTATTTTTATATACCCACCTATACTAAAGAATATTTTTCTAAATAATTTTTTGAATCTTAAATTTGTATATAATACTTACTATTATAGTGCTAATATAAATTATATATTATGACAAACGTTTTGATACAATTAAATATTTTTGTTTAAAATAAATTAAAATTATAATAGTTAATTAAATTTATTGCAATGTTTATTAATACTTTCATTTGCCTAATGCAATTAATTAATTTGATCTTAATTTTAATAATTCAGTAATAAGAATAAAAATACTAGCATTACCAATCTAAAAAATTTACTAAAATAATTTAATTAAAGCAAGATCAGGTTTTTTGTTTGTAATAAGAGTCATGAGATACTCGAGGACCCCGAATAATACTAACAGAATTTCTATTAATTTTCTTGAATTTTGATTGGCTAAATTTTTAACCAATCAGATTTGCAGAATTTGTCAAGATTTTGGTTAATTTTAGCTATTTTTCATATGTAATCTTTGTTAGAATTATTCGGGTTCTGGTACTTGGTACGTTGGTGTGCAAGAGGTTATGTAAATCAAGACTGTATGTGGTCATATAATAAAATTTATTAATGAAGATTTTTTAGATAAGAAATATTAAATAGATGCACAGCCCTAACGATTCGATAGATTTGGATAAAATTTTGCAAAGACCAGTATTACAAAAAAAAGAAACTAAATTAGGCTCTCTCTTGTTTTTCTTTTTTTTTAAGGAAAAAAATAACAACACACAGTAGTTTAAAAATTTTTTTCATGCTTAAATAAAAGAAGTGGCTCTATAGCTTTGTTCGTAAAGACATAATAATACCAGTCTTTACAAATTTTATCCAAATTTATCGAACCGTTAGGGCTGTACATTATTTAAAGTTTTGCTATAACTACTATGTAAAATTTTATTATATGACCAAATGTAGTTTTGAAGTAGTATACTGCACACCCAATGGTGCGTACCGTTAAAACTATTTGCTATGTAGATAGTGTTCAGAATTATGATTTAATCATTGAAACATTATGCGAATTATACGAATTGTAGGGATGGATCAGTCTGGTTCAGTTAATCACAGTTTCTAATATGAATGATATATTGGTATTTTTTTTAGTCCTAGAAACGGTTCTTATCGATTTAAAAATCTAAATATTTTATTGTTTAGCCGAAATTAAAATCATATCAGCAATTGAAATAAGCGAATAAGTACGTAGCATACTTTTTTTTTTTTTTTTTGAAGAAAAATATTTATGAAGACTCTCAAGACCGAAGGCTAAATAACTGTATGACAGATTAGGAGATTCTTATTCGGTCTTTTCAAGGTTGATCTATCGCTATAGTCCCAAAGTTAGGCCAGAGTTAGAGTATGATTTAGGCCGATTCGATAATATTCATATGATTCAACTCTATACTCTGTACTAGGAAATAAAGTTGTAATTCTGGCATATCACATGATTAATGACGGCTTAAATCTTTTTTATATAAACAATATAAAGTATGTGTAACATCGTTTTTTCATAGGAATCAGATGACCGATAAAATGAACTTATGCTAATGTAAAAAAAATTTTTTCCCCACCGTTTTTTCAAATATTTAGACAAAATCCAGACGAATCGAGTTTTTCAACAATGTAATACTGTAAAAATTTCAGAAACTTATATTGGCGTTTGCCTCATGGTTTATTGTGTCTTAGCAAAAGATGTTAAGCCATGTAAACAAATTACGTTAAAATCAAATCCAAATGTTGATGAATCTAATATTTTTTCTGAATTAAAAAATAACTTTTTTCTATACAAACTTATTATATATGACCGAGCAATGGCTTCAAAAGTTTACTGATTTTACAGGGCAATGGTTTTAAAAAATAAGTTTATTGTTTGTGTCTGAGTGAATAAAGTTTATAATCGCCTTTGTACAGTGGCATCACTGTCCAAGTAGTTTTAAGATAGGCATTACGATGACTATAACATGACTAAGCTTCATATCAGTTTATAAATTAGAAAAGTACTTATAAAAATTTAATAACGATATTTCGGTTGATGGATTTAACTTGGTTTTTATTTGTTTATACAGATTTTATTGTTTACGCTGAGCAATGGCTTCAAAAGTTTAGTGTTATAGTTTCAGAAAGATATGCTTATCTGTTTTTATTTGGTTGATGAAAAGTTTATAGTGGCTTTGAAAATTTGTAATACATTATTACAGTATATAAATATGCTTTTTTACGCGCTAATAAACATTTTTTTTTTTAAAAAAAAAAAAAAGTACACGAAACAATTTTTCTTTCACCAAATAAAAAAAAAAATGCAATTAGTAAAAATTTTAGCAATTGTGATGCTAATTGCCCAATTGGCAGTTATAACCCATTCCTGGCCGATTTTTAAACGAACAGGTATTAAATAATATATAATTATTTTCGGAAAAGATTTGTTATATGTATTCGATCGAATAACATCTAACAGACCTTTGACGAATAATAACGCTACTGATCACTTACATGGTAGTAACGGTGGTATCCTTTTGTCTACGGTGATTTTATATGACGTATACAGTAGTAGACTGAAGGATTATAAAATATTATTAAAATTGGTACATTTCTTGAAGATAAAACACTAAATGAAATTTTTACTTTTTTATTAGCTTGGTCTCCAGAACTTAAAAAAAGAGGTATTGAATTAGCAATCATATTAATTCGTTAAATAAAACATCTCTAATTATTTATATATAAATTAAATTACTAGTCAGTAAGTATGAGACTATTATTATAATTAAAAACTTCATTATACTATTAAATAATAAAACATTGATTATTTATATGTAACCAGCGAGTGAGTATGACTATTTTATAAATTAAAAATTTTTATGATAATTTTTTATTAAATAAACACCGCTAATTATTTATATAAATTAAATTATTAGTCAGTGAGTATAAGACCGTTTATAAATTAAACCTTTATAATAATCTACTATATATTAAATAATATCTCTATATAATTATTTATATGCAAATTAAATTATTAGCTTGTAAGTATAATTCTATTTTGTAAATTAAAAATTTGATTAAATAAAACATCTATAATTATTTATATATAAATTAAATTTTTAGGCAGTAAGTATAAGACTATTTATAAATTAAACAATATAATAATCTATATATTATTAAATAACACATCTCGGATTATTTATATATTAAATTACTAGTCGGTAAGTATATTGTTTTATAAATTAAATTATTGTAAAATAAACCATCTCTAATTATTTATATAAATTTTAACTTATTAGAAGGTAAGACTATTTTATAAAATAAAAGCTTTTACTTTTATTATTATTAAATATTAAATAAAACATCTCTAATTATTCTATAAATTAAAATTTATAGAAGGTGAAGGTGAGCATAGGATTATTTTTAAATTAGGAACTTCGTAATAAATTTATTATTAAATGAAAAAATCTCTAATTATTTATAATAATGAAATTATAGAGGGTGAGAGTAAGACTATTTTTATAAATAATAATTTAATTATTATTAAATGAAAACATCTCTAATTATTTATATATATATATATTTATAGAATAAGGTCATAGATATTGCAATTTTATATTATACTGTTATATAACAATATAGTTATATAATGTAAGTACATTCGTTTATAATAAAAATTTTTGTCTATAATACAAATATTTATTTGGCTAATTCTGTATACTAAAAGTTATTACTTATCATCAATCTTATTTTTATATCAAAATATAGACTTGATATGGACGTGACTAAAATGAATGCGTAACTTAATATTTAATAAACAACATTAAATTTATTTAATATTTTTTTATAGCTAGAAAGAGTCGTGATTACTATTTCCCATGTGATGTAATATGATATTATAATTTGCAAAATGACTTATTTTTGAGATAATATAGTTATGACGAAGAAATGTCGCGAACCGATCCTACCATATGATTGATCACGTAACCGACTCTAGTATTAGTATTAGTATGCTACGTAAAAAATGGTTACGCAAACAATTATATGATAGGATCACATGTTTCGCGACATTCCTTCACCATGACTATGCTACCTATTTTTGATACATCAATGTTTTTAGTCATACATTGAACTTCTTGTTCCGAAGTTTTTTATAGAATTATTACTTAAATCTTAAAAAAAAAAATTGCGACAAAATATATGAAAAAAATATTATTTACTTTGAGAATGAATGATTCATTATTAATGAATGCACAAACCTTAAGACCAAAATTATCGAAAATTTGACTTAAATGAATGCTAAGATCTGAAGAGTTCATTTAAATTTAAATTTATTAATATAGGCTTGTCTGTTTTTGAGATATCGGCATTATTTGATAACAATTTCATTAAACCACCCTAATATCGCCTCAAAAATCAATTACACATCCGTCGACTCTATATTACTTCGTGTGATTTAGATGTCTTAATGTAATGGTAGAAACGACTTACAGAAAAAAATATTTGAAAGTAAAAAATACATAACACACTTTCGAATAATCAATAATTTTTTTATTAAAGTGTTCTGATTATGGTCATCTCATATGTTTTTCTTAATGTCTTTTTTGTTGAAATACGGTGCTTTTTATCCTTACACCAACTTATAGGCAAATTTGCCTGCAACTTTTTAACAATGCACTTTTCTGAACAGATCATAAGTAAATTGCAATTTAAGGGTATATGGTATCATGAGTAAACTGAATTTCCCATTCGAGAGCTTTCTGTCAATATCATTTTTTGGCAGTTCATAGACATTGTGTTCTTTGAATTCTTCGCTTACCTTTTGGGCCTTCAGAAATTTGACATTTCAAGATACCAAAAATGGTTTTAAAGCGTGATATTCGAATAAGATGATTGGGTATCTGCGTTCCTGCAAATTTGCCTGTGATTGCTTAAGACGGCGTAATGAATAATTATTATCATTATTGTAAAAACCAAATATATTATAGTATTATAGAATAAAAAAATTACAAAAATATATTATCATATAAAAATAGAATTATAATGTTGGGTTTAAAAAATCAGTAACTGATCTGATCTTTGAGGTAATGCTAGGCTCTTCGGATCGGAGACGAATAACAATCTTATAGTGCCGATTCTCAAGAACGGCCAAGCCTTTCTGATGATTTTGAGTTTAAATAAATGCACCAAATTGTATGCTGTGTATACTCGTATGTCGGCTGCACCTATAACAATTTGACATGTAATTGTTTTTGGTAAACAATAAGTACATACGTATCCGGTATACGAGCATACACTAAAAAAAAAAAATTTTGCCTTGATTTCTACTATTTCGAAAACCCACGATAAATCAAATTCATTAAATACATAAAGGATTTATTTTGGATTTTTCATTTATGAAAATTTAAACTTTCTCGAATTACGTAAAAATTCGGAATATTTATTGTCCACTTTAAAGTTTTTATTTTAAATTTTTCATTTATGAAAATTTAAACATTGGTTAATATTCCTGTATCCACTGACTTGTACACATGTACATATGTACATATGTACTTGGTTCCTCTTGTTACTTTGCCACTAGCATTTATAATGCATTGTATGTTCTACGTGTACGTATCAGTTCAACAATGCACAAGGAAAATAATGATCGTTTGCAGAATTTTAGTGATTATAACGTACCAATCACAGTTTGAGTATGCGTTTCAGATTGATAAACAAAAAACATATAACGCAACTAGGGTTGTAAACTTACATTATATAACTACATATTTGACTAAGTAAACATATAAAAATTGCTTGTAAGTAACATCGTAAGTTACATTAAAATTTTGAAATTTAATCCATAGTCGCAATATATATTTCGGCAGTCCGTCTTAAAGTTACCTCAATTGCACCAATTGACTACTCTATTAGTGATCAGAATTATAATTGGTTAACGTTAATTCAAGTAACCAAAATTTTATTTAATATCAATTATATGCTATTTCCCGGATTTTGCATTACCCGGAATTTGAAATTTTGTGATTTTTTATGCACTTGAGTTACACACGTTATTCAGATTATAATTCGTTGGGGATTTAAACCAGACAACACGTGTAATAGTAACTCACGCGCATAACCGCGGGAAAATATTCAGATATTGGAAATTCTACGGATAGTAATAGAGCTTAGGGACAGAGAAGTCACGTGGTATTATCAAGAAGAGAAAAAATAGACTTTAAATCAAAATACCTTGGTAACCACTTGAAAATTTTTTTATTTGAGTTCTATGAATCCATATAATTCAGACAAAAAAAAAAAAAATTCGTCGAACTTGGTCGGATGGTTATAGAGATATTTTCGATCAAAGTTAGAGAAAAATCAAAAAACGCTTATCAAAATAGAAGCTACGCCAAAATTTGAACGAAGATATCAACACGATAAAGTTTTTTTTATTTGAATTTTATGGAGATATCTTCGCTCAAAGTTAAAGAAAAATCAAAACGCCTATCAATGCAATTTTTTAAAAAATTATCTACGAATGCCAACTAAATTCGATAAAAAAATTTTATTTGAATTCTTTGAATTCATAAAATTCAACTAAAAAAAGTTCATCAAATTTGGTTAGGTGGTTGTGGAGATTTCTTTACTCAAAATTTGACGTAGCTTCTTTTGATAGCGTTTTAATTTTTCTCTAACTTTGAGCAAAGATATCTCCATAACCATCTGACCAAGTTCGATGAAATTTTTTTTATTTGAATTATATGGATTCATAAAATTCAAATAAAAAAAAATTTTATAAGATATTTTAATTTAAAGTCGAAAATTTTTATTTTTCCCTTCTTGATAATGTCACATGACTGCTCTGTCCGTAGAATTTCGAAAACCACATCTTATCTCCTTTATCGGCACAGCAACGATCGACATAGCGAAATGACAAATTTGAGCGAAGATATCACGACAACTAAGCCAACTTCGATTAATATTTTTTATTTGAATTCTACAGATTTAGAGAAGTCAGATAAGTCGAATTTGGCTTATTAGTTGTCGAGATATCTTTGCTCAAAGTTTGATTTTTTTCTAAATTTGAATAAAGGTATCTCGACAACCACCAAACCAAATTCAATGAATTTTTTTATTTGAATTTGCAGAATTTGCAGAATTCAGATAAATAAAAGCTCATCGAATTCGGCTTGGAAGTTGTCGAGATATATTCGGTTAAAGTTTGAAAAAAATTCAAACCATCTCAAATGCGCCAAATTTTTTTAAGTTTGAACGAAGATATCTCAACAACCACCAAGCCAACTTTGATGAACTTTTTTTATTTAAATTCTACAGATTCATAAAATAAAAATAAAAAAAATCGAACTTGGCATTGGCGTTGTCGAAATATCTTTGTTTAAAGTTAGAAAAATTTTGATGCAGTCTACATTTTGATAAACGTTTGGAAATTTTCAAACTTTGAGTGAAGATATCTCGACAACTACCGAGCCAAATTCGATGACCGTTTTTTTATTAGACTTCTACAAATCGTTAGAATTCAAATAAAAAAAGTTGGCATAGTGGTTGTCGTGATAGCTTCGCTCAAATTTGGCATTTCGCTATGTCGATCGTTGCTGTGATATAAGTCACGTGTTTCAAGTTCGAGATCCAGATTTTTGTTGTTTGACGAACTGCAGGCAGCTCATCGAATATTGCATATAATTATATAAAATTTGATATGTTTGATCAAATGACATACGTCAACTTAAATTGAGAAATATATATATTGGCAAACTTTAAATGAAATTGGTTAAATAATTAGCTTAAAATAAATTTTTTTACATACCAAATTTAGCATACAAGGCCTATAAATACCCATTAAATAACTTATTTTTTAACATGCTTCAAATACTATTTTTTTTTTTATTAAAGCGACTCAACTTACATTTTAATTTTTTTTTAAAGTTAAAATAACTAATAAAATAAAGTGATACTAGCTCTATTAACTCAAATCATGTGAAAATTATTGTTCGAAGACGAAGTTATGTTAAAAATTCTAGATTTTGATTGATTGTTTATCATTTCTTAATTTTTAATTGGTTATGATTAACTCTAATTCAGTCTTTCGGACCTTTAACAGTTTCTATTTTCCTAGTAGATAGTTAAAATTACTACTGAATTTAAATGTAGCTGATCTTTTGGGTGACGCTTGATTTGTGCTTAATCATTTCAAAAGGCTATCTACCATGTAGAATGTCAAGTTCCAATAACGCCTGCCCCGAGAGCTTGTATTCTAAATCTAAAGCTCGGACCGAATTGTAATACGGTTCATAACTTGCATTTTATTCATTGATAAAGAGATTTGATGGTCTAGGATATATTTCCTTCATACCTATATACAGTTTTGAGCTTGGTCATATGTCCAATAATTTTGAGTAAATTTTGCATATATATCCAATCGCGAACAGCTACCAAACACTACCTACGTATGTACGTACCTACCTCACATACTTACTTACGTACTTACTTACGTACTTATTTGTCTAGCAGCTAAAATATAGACAAATTAGCGGCACAAAATGTACATATTTGATCCTCAGGGACACATACATGTAGCTTAACCGGGGTATTTAAAATAAAATCAGATAAGAGGATCGTCACATGCCCATGCTAGTACGTACAGTACGTAAACGCACTAATCGTAGGTTTTCTCTATCATCCTAATAATGTATTCAATGTACTGTAATAAATATTGGAACAGAAAATAAAATCATATTTATGCAATTGCACTAGTTGCTAGCATGTGCAAGTTACAATGTTTAGTGATAATAGCAAAACAAATACTTTTTTTTTTGAAAGGCAATCACATCATACGTAAAGTATGTAACTGTTTTACCGTGAATTACGCTTGACTATCCAATTGGTCCAATTTAAAAAATTGCTTCGTATGTGTTAAAACATTATGTGTTTAATAGTATTACAACTTATTCATTATAAGGACAGTGCTCCCTAGATTAAATTTCGCGCAACATTCATAAAGTGTTCTCTGCAGAAACGTACAAGATTTATTTGAGATTCACTTAATGCTAAGGCAGTGTCATTATTTAATTAAAAGAGTATTTATATACAGAACTTTCTATTTTCTATATTTTATGCAGTTTAATATGTATGTTTAAGACTGGTTTTGATTTTTGATATAAATTGGTCTGGATTTATATATAACGAAAATAAAATCAGTCTGTTACAAATATATAGGATAAAAATATGTAATCACCTATAAAATTACATAATAGTAAACTGCATTATAATTCTAATGTTTTTTTTAGTCTAAAGGAAACTTTATAGTTATTTCCAATATTTCAGCAAGAACGTATGTACATATATACTGATATTTAAATTCGATTTAAAATCAGCACTCTTTCGAATCTGTCGAATTATTATTCAAATATGCATATATAAGCAAACATTGATCTGATTCCAAACTCTAGGTACGTACGTGCGTACGCATATGAAAAGCCTAGTTATATTTACTTACTATTCATTCGGTATAACCAATGTTATTTTTACAACTTGGATGAAAACTCTCTTTGAACATATATATAATCCTAAATGACGGATTAGTAATCCTAATTCTTACTAAATTATAAAAAATCTAAGGGGTTCTCAACCATTCTCAATGAATTCTATAAAAATCTGATTGGCCAATTTGATCAGTCAGACCAATCAAAATTTTCGTTGAGCCCATTGAGGAAAATGCCATTAATCAGTAATGGGATTGTCAATAAATTGTCGGCGAAATGGTGCGTACGTACGTACATACCTATTGGATAAGTACGACAAAATAATTAATCTAATTAACCAATTATAATTAATTAAATAAAATCAACAGTCATTTAAATGATTATATAAACATTAAAAAGTTTGGTCTATTGGAACGTGACTTATGTGCACTGTAATTAAAAATATAAATGGTCTAGGCTTGATTATTAATTGTGTGACGATTTTAAGTAAAATTGTCATTTGTTTAATCGATAGTATTGAATAACAATTCATAGGCTAATGAAGGTAAATTTATTTCCTTGGAAGGTTTTACTATAAAGCAAGCCTAAGAATTCTATTTTTAAAAATTTGGCCAAAATTAAAAAAAATCTTACAGATCTTAATAATACAGGTTAAGAGTACCACATATTCATTGCGGTAGGTCCAATCCTAACCAGCTTGGATATAGTTAACAATCCTACTTTATAAAAACTATTTAAAAAACTATTTATAAAAACTGATTTATAAAAACTGATTATAAAAACTGATTATAAAAACTAATTTATAGTTTGGGTTTGTTCTTAAACACAATTATAAAAATTAAAGTTGCAGCCTTATTTCTATTTTTCCTATGATCCATTATATTTTATTTTACACGTGCGGATTGCTTAATTTTTGGATCTACATTTTTAGCAATGCTCTTAATTATATTAATAAATTAATTAATTTCATGCTGAGTGTATATTAATTTATATATCTGACATTTTAACTTTTTCCGCAGAATGTGATACATGGTACATACATACCTAAAATAGGTATATTCATAGTTTCTATATATATTCACGTAACATTATCCTTTAGTCATTTTACAAAAAAATAACAAAACAAAAAAGCCCTATTTAACAATGGGACAAAAGTCTGTTAAAGGTGCAATGAATAAAAGAAGTTCTATACAAAACGAAGAAACATATTTAAGGCCTCTTTCAGTATTTGAAGCATACCGATTTATTCAAGGTCGAAGATTTCGTGTGACACCGAATGCTGTACTTACCCTTCCAAGTGATAGCGAAGAAGCTATAAGATTTAATGGATCCATAAAACTTAAGAAAAAATTATTTGGTTCCAATTATTCTGCACCTGTTACGAAATTATTAACATGTGGAAGTGCAAAAGTACTTGAAGTTGGGTTAGTAACTATCTTTAATTAGATTTTATTTGATTCGATTAGCTTTAATAAATATCTCTTCTTTAATAGAACGGGTGGTGGACATTGGTTAAGTGATATGGCATTAGAATTTCCAATGTCGGTTTTTTTAGGCTTGGATCTCTCTACTATATGTAACCCGGTAAAGAAAGATTGGATTTTAGTCACATATAGCATATAAATATGAATTAAATTTTAAAATATTCGGATATTAGGGATAATAATAATATATATATATATGTTTCTTTTTAGGATTATTTACCAGAAAATAGCGCATTCCTTGAGCACAATTATCATGATGGAATTCCATTCCCCGACGATGTAATATATAAACATTTTTTTATAAGTAAATGTACCTTTTTTCTATTCCTGATTATATACTTAAAAAAAAAAAATCTCATTTTATTATATAATTAGACATTTGATTTTATATTCCAACACGCTGTGTCTGCAAAATTTCGCGAAAATTTATTCAACGCTCATTTGGTATATTCACTTTTATTATTAATGAATATATTATTTTTTTTACTTTAATTGAATTTATTTATCAAAATAAAATAAATAGAGTGAAATGTCTCGCGTCCTTAAACCAGGAGGCTGGATAGAGGTTAGAATTTAATTTTAGCAATAATAAATGATATATACAGTATATAGATGTTAAATAATTCTTAATAGGTATATGGATCTCCAACCCACATTGTTGATGCCGGACCTGCAACTGAAAGGTTTATATCATCAGGTAATTAATTCATGCCTTTTCATTCCTTTTATAAAATCAAATTCACGTATAGTTCTTTTTTTAATAGCACGTAAATGTCTGCAAATTAACGGCCTCAACCCTGATATTGTACGTACTATTCCAGAAAAGTTAAAGCGTTTGAATATTAAAAATGTTCAAGTGGCTGAGATGCCACTTTCTCTTTCACGTCGTAATAAAATTTCAGATGATCAGGTAAATTAACATGAATTTGTTCTATATCCTAAAATTCAATAATCTAATTTCTTTCTTTCTTTTTTTTAAAAGATAGAAGAGAACGATCAAAATCTTTTACTTAGAACTGTTGAAGCTTACAGGGTAATAATGAAGGTAGCGGTAGGATGTACAGATGAAGATTATGATAAATTAAAGAAAGAAGTTAGTATAGAGATAGAAACTAGAAATATGTATATAATGAGCGTAAGAACTTTTGGGCAAAAGTAACATGCACCACATTTGAATGAACAATTAATCGTAGGGTATCGTCAATTACCTCTAGCCTCAAGATCGAGCATTGCTCCGAATTTTAGGAATTTGCGTCGGTTTGACTTTTTTGTATTATAGATTCTAGTCAGAAAATTATACAGAAAACAGACTGGTTATAATCGTGTTTAATTGAGAAATTATAAGCAAAATTTTTACTAAGATGAGGTATTGTGCACGATTTTAAATTTTTTGGCGTTTCGATAGAACCAATCTTTTGTATTCAAAAATATTTAAAATACTGATAGTATTGTGTAACATACGAGGTAATGGAGCTACAGGCAAATATTCGCAGGATGAGCTTCTATTTCTGCAAGATGTCCACGTCTCAAATATTTTGAACAATTTACACTATGGTCACTAGTAACATTACTTATTATCTAATAATACCAAATATTTTTTCTCTTGGACAGCCTGCATTTTTTCGTTTTAGTATTTTATTTTGTTTTTTATTTTGTTTTTTTTCTGAACGTATCAGTTTGAATATTTTGTTTAACATGTTTAAAGATAAATTTGTAGAGAAGTCAATTCACCAATCATTAATAAAATAAATTCGAAAAAGATTTCAGTATAATAAAAATTAATTCATAGTTTAATTGATATATCCCTGATAAAATTACTGTAATAAATTTTTGATTGGTTTCTAAATATAACCAAGAATCGATAGGTCCGGATCATAATTTAAAATAAATGATCAACAGAACGTGAGTGGACAGACAGAAAATTCAAAGTTACTTTCTTGATGGTTCTTAAATAAAACTATCAAAAACATAACTTTTGTATAACAAACGTAGAAATAAGAGTCCATCGCTCCGGACAATTATGATATATTGCAATTGTAATTATATACTAAACAATAAATCTAGGTTTACATCGTTAATCTGATATTATTCATTAATCTCTCGTGATCTTGAAACAGATTTCCGGGCTAGGGTTAGAGTTAATTATACTGGTTAGCGGGAACTATAGTAAAATTATCAGCTGGGCACTTTTTACTTAATAAGCGACTATAGTTACATTAGTAAAATTCTTAGTGATCTTGGTCCATCCGACAAGGGTTTCGATACTTTCTGATCCGGAATTTTGGGGATCTCACTGTATGAGTTTAGTGATCGGGAGATTAGGACATAATTTGTTGGGTTTAATGTGAGATTGATGTAAATTTTATAAAAACCGAGACGAATTAAATTTTTGCTAATCCTTGAAATCACTGATCCCGCTCTTAATGCGCAGTAACTGCATAGTAACTATATAAAGATATTTAAGTTTCAGTAAAGCTCGGACTGAAATTTCTCAAGAATTAGGTGATTTATGGAATGGGGTCGAGGTGATTTAGGAAAAAAATATTTTTTTTTTGAGTTGTTCCAATAATTATGAAACAAATATAATTTGATGTCACTTTAAATTGTGATAAATTATGTACTGCATGAGAGGCGTTCTTTGGATATATATGCGCATGATTTACAGCAAGCTTTGTTAAAGCATAATTAATATTTTCATAAGGCGTTTAATGAATGCACCAATATCAATTTATCATTGCAGAGAACCCTCCTAATGCACTTTCTGTAAGCGCATTCTATATTTCAGTTCTAACCTCCAATAGCTTTAGAGGCGTGCATTTAACTTTATATTCGAATCAATAGGTTAAATAATTTTCGGTACGTAACACGAACTCTTAAAAATAAGTGCGATGCGGTGTAACAACTAATAGTAATAGATATTATAAGATCGGGATTTTTATTTACCGCTTTACTACGATGATATTTAAAGTCCTAGAATGTATGGTGGAAAAAATAATCCAGTTTGTTTTCATTGTCCTTAAAGTCATTTTCCTGACATCATAACTTTTTATTGATAATACTGTATATAGTTATTGGGCGTGTAGTGACCAATAAAATCTATATTTATTTTTCAATTTTCAATGGTTTGCCTTAATGAAACTTCATAAGTCATGCCTCTATATTTTTCTTTTGTTTTACATATTGGTTGATCTGCACGGTAGAGTTATTACCCAGGTTGAAAATTGTTCCGGTCAAGCGGGTCAGAATTCAAAATATGCAAAGGCTTACTAAAATGCTACATATATTACGCAATTTACCTAATATAACTATATGGGTATATGGTAGACAATATAATTTCCTAAATGAGTGCTGCCAAGGCAAAACCTGTAAGCAAATATTTGAGGTATCAATAAGGCGAGCTTAATCCTGGGAAAATATTACGTATTAAATCATTGTATACAAATTTTATACAATGATTTATAATACGTAATACCACAATTTTCCCAGGATTAATTGATACTTCAAATATTTGCTTACAGGTTTTGCCTTGGCAACACTCAAATAGTAAAGGGTCGTCTGACCCGTGCGGGTCAGCTTCTTGAGGGTCACGTATTTCCTGAAATAGGAAATGAATGATCTCAAATCACGAGCAAGGTCGAAAAATTTTCAATACAAAATCCGAAAAAACCCGGTTTAAACATTTGGAGTGCAGGCTGTTCTCTATACCACCAGTTCTAATTAAGAGTCATTGCATCAACTTCTAAGAATTAACTTCAAAAACTTTATGAAATTCTGTTTGACCCGTTGACCCGGTTATAACCCGGTCGGGTCATTATTTTCTGACCCAGGTAAGATCACAATTCTGGTCAATTAAAATTTAATTTTAAGTTTGACTAGAATTTAGACGGGTTTTGGCACAAAAAATATCCAGTTTAAGCCTCCCACCTACTTTAGGATTATCCGGGTCCATTGGGGTGTCAAACATCGGTATAATTACAAACATAATGCAAGTCATATAGCAAATTCTAATAATAAGGATTTTTTATAGATCAATGATAGCAATAGTAAAAACATATAAAATTCAAATTGCAATAACTCAAACCAACAATCCCACACAAATAAAATTACTTTTCAGGTTCGTTTTAACAAGCTCTTTAATGTAATAACGTTTTTGTTTTTGTTTATGTGTGTTAAGATAAAAAAATCAATTATTAAAATCGAATGTCTTGTAAGAAGATAACAAAAGAGCGTTGCCACTTTAAAGAGCATGTTAAAATACCCGACAAATATAAATTTATTTGTGTTTGTTTACTAGTTCAAGAGTTATTGCAGTTTGAATTTTATATATTTTTACTATTACTATCGTTGATCTATAAAAAATCCTTATTATTAGAATTTACTATATGCCTTGCATCATGTTTGTAACTATACCGATATTTGACACCCCGGTGAAAAAATTCTCATATCACGTGCCATAGATCATTTTTTACAAATTTCTATTGGACGTCATCCTGATGATCGCAGTTTTTATAAAAATTTAAGCGAAGATATAGGCGCTGTTCAGTAGAAAAGGGATCAAAATTTTGACGTTTTTGTAGATCACAACAATTACACGGTGACAAACAATTTAGATCAATTTTTTAAAATATTATTTATATAAGCCATGTAATGTAAAGAATTGTGTAATGCACGTAATTTTTAATTTTTTACTATGTAAAAAATTGTCATGCAATACTAGATGTCATAGGCAGACTTTCGTATGATTGGTTGTTTAAATCAATTTAATTTTACATTATTTATACAGTTTAAAGTACTTTTTAAAAAAAAGTAAACTACGAAGAAATAAACAAAAAAGAAGTATATAGAAAGTTTTATTAAGGTTATAGGACTCCACTATTAAAAATAATAAAAATTCTTTTTCGTTTTAAAGAAGTTAGCATAATAGCGACTTCTTAAAATTAGGTTATTATCATGCTAACTTCTCTAAAACAAAAAAGAATTTTGATTATTTTTAATAGTGAAGTCCTACAACCCTAATAAAACTTTCTATATCCTTCTTTTTGTTTATTCGTAGTAGTTTTCTTTTTTTTAAAAAGTACTTTAAACTGTATAAATAATGTAAAAGTAAATTGATTTAAACAGCCAATCATACGATGCACCGTATTTACAATTGACAAACCAAACCATGCTCTAAGTCAATGAATACATGAATATTAAGCTAATAATAAACACTTGAATTTTCATAAATGAAAAATCCAAAATAAAACTATAACGTGCAAGAGCAAACCAAGAAAGTGCAATAACACTGAAAAATCTTAAAATCAATATAATTCTGTAACAAACTTAAAACAAGAAATTCAACTTATTACGATAAAAACATTGAAGAATAAAGACGACAAATAGCTTGATTACAGTATTAGGTATCAAAAACAACTATTATTATGCAATGTCATATCATATACATCTGGAAATATAGTAATCACAACTTTTCTAGATATAAATAAATATTATAAAGAACAATTTAATGCTATTTTATTATTTTATTTATAAAATATTCTCTTTATGAACTACATGAATCCATTAAATAATCTTCGATTACGTACTACATACATACGTACTTAGAGCTAGTAAAAACCTATATCTAGGAACGAAAATAAAATTATAAAGAACTTGCTAATAATTTTAAACAGAATTAGCCAACTAAATATTTATACTATAGGTGATGACTTTATCACAACAAATATACTTACATTTATATACAGTGTAATTATATTGTTATATAATACAATATTGCAATATTCTAAAGATATTAACCCTAACAATCTAATAAATTAATTTACATATAAATAATTAGAAATGTTTTATTTAATAGATAATCAAAGTTTTTAAATTATAAAATAGTCTCATACTCACAGGCTAATAATTTAATTACATAATAATTAGAGATATTAATAG